GACGGCACGGGACACACCGAACCGACTCGAGCCACCGACCTCGCCTGACTGTCCGACGACGTCCGACGGCCGATAATCGGGTTGGTGTGCGGAGGCCTTAGAGTTCACCGCAGTCAGTTCCTCAGTTTATCCGACCAACAGTCGAGCGTCAAACTAAATCAGACCTAAATGTACGTCGGTGATCTGAGTGAGCGGTTCAAACATTTCCAGGATATTTGCTCATTTTTAATCAGTTTCCAGGTTTTTCCAGGTTTTTCCAGGATGCGTGGGAACCTTGAGTTAGGCATTATTTCCAAAAACACATTTAAAAGTGAGGCTGGAGTAACGTTACCGTCATAATCAGATACATTTACAGACATTTTAGGGCCTGAAACTCACATTATTGTGTTTTAGACTTTAAGGACCCACAGAAACTCATGGTTCTCTTTCTGTTCTGCTGTTTTTACGAGGACATAAGGGACGGACGTTTTAGTGAAATGTCCACGTATGAGGATTTATTTTGGCTTTTTGACTTTAAGAGAACCTTTTTCTACAAGCTTTGGAGTGGAGACACCTGAACATCTAACCACAGACGGACTCTCACTGAGGATGATGTATCTGTTCCTCTTCACCGCCTCCAGCAGCACTTTGACCTCCGTGAAGGAGAACCTGGGTTTGGCCTTCAGCGCTCCTTTAACTCCTCCCACCCTGAACTCCTCCTCGTCTTCACGCCACGCCACCGACATGGCCGCGCCTCCGTCCTCTTCCCCTCCTCCTCCTCCTCCTCCTCTCCTTCTTCTCCTGACGGCCACAGTTCAACTCAGCTTGATACCGAGTCCAACTTCACCTCCCTCCAGGACTTGTCTGGTCCTGATCCTCCTGCCAGTCTGACTGCAAAGGGACCTGCAGAGGGGAGAGAGAGAGAGGGAGGGAGAGAGAGAGGGAGAGAGAATTAAGTAACTTTACGTTCTTCTGAAATGGAAAAAGAAACCAAACCTTGCTCTTTACTGCAGTATGATGTATAAAGACGGAGCGCTTTAGAATAAATATCATTATTATTCTATAATTGTAACATAACATTTATTTAACTGTAAAAAGAAAAGCCACCTGAAACTGCCATCAGAATTCCCTGAAAACTAATAAAGGAAAACTGACTTTAAATCAACTTAAAAACTTTTAGTTTAAGTTTACACCTAAATGAACACATGTAAATGTGTTTTTTACGTACTTATTGGGGCTGTTTTCATGAATACCAGTGTATTAGCATGTTAATATGTTCAATTTAAACATTTAGGAAATAAAACCAGGTGCTTTCTGCTCTGTAAAAAACTGTAAAACAGGTAAAACACATGAATTCAGACAGTATTACTGATGAACTGATGACTTTATTGATACCAGTACCTTTTATCTATTGTTTGTTCTCTGTGTGGAGATAAAGTCGGCCTACGCAGGTTTTCAGCTTCACTTAAACTGATTTATTACCTCTGAGTTAGTTCAGATAAAGTTCTCTTAGGCTCTTATGTCTTTTTATTTTTACTTTTTACTATACGTACATACATTCATTTATATTCTATATATTGTGTTAGATATTCTATATAAGTACTATTCCTTTAACGTTGTGTGAGTGGAACAACTGTAACGCACAAACGTCCTCCCGGGGATCAATAAAGTATTTCTGATTCTGACTTTACATCAAAGTAAAGTTAAAGTAGTTAGAGTTCAGCAGTGTAGACGCAGGAGTTTGGTGTCATTGTTTTGTTGTAATATCCAACCGATGGGTCGAGTGATGTGGAACCGGTTCTCGGCCCCCATCCCCGGGTAGAAACGGGCTATAGATACGGGGCGTAGGTTATGTAGAGTGGAGCTTTTTCTGCCGAGTCACAGTCGTCCTTTCTTTCTCCTCTAAAAGCGGAGAGTCGGTCCAACAACCACAGCTGCTCCTCTGAGCCTGTGGGGGGTTTTACACTGAGACAACTTTAAAGAATAGATGTTATAAATAAACCTTCTGTGCTGGACTGGAGCTGTTTTCTCGGGCGTTAACCGAGAACATGTTGTTTATTTTTACCTCAGCTCGTGTCCCTACGCTGCCCCCTTCTGGTTGGATCCTAAAATAACTAATTAATGTTTATCTGTGCTGTGATTATGAGTCCATATTTAACACAATCTGTCTCATTTATCAGCTTTTTAAAGTAAATACTATGCTCAACAATGTAAAGTTAAATTAGTATTTCCCTCCTCTCTTTCTCTCTTTGATTTGGTTTATCTGTAGCTATTCTAATAAAGTGTTTATACTCTTTCTGGTTTAACCGTGACCACTTACAGTAATTATGTCTCAAAAGAAAGAAAAATAGTGTGAAAAACAACCAAAGAGATTTTATTTATAGTAAATATAGTAATCCCATTACTCTGCGGAGGGTTACATTATTATGATATATCCCTCCTGCCCAACCTCTTAAAATAACAGCAATAATATAATGTAATTAAATAATAATAATAATAATGATGTAAAATGTTACTAAATAAATTGTTAAAACTGTATAAATCAATAAATTAAAATAAGTGTTTCCTATAATAAACAGTTAAATAAGACACGTGCAGTGCGTGTTTTTGAACATTAACGGTTATAAATTTAAAATCAGTTTGAATTAACGTTGCGTTTGCGCGGACCACGTGGTTCCCTCT